CTCATCACTCATTGACAGGGTCAGCAGGAGTCAGAGCCCACTCAATAGCATGCAACACGCATAATTCTTTCTGCACTTAACCTTTCTTTATAGTTAGATTAGCAAAATGCTTACATCGCCTCATGAAAATTCAGTGTCTTCAGTCAACACTAGGGGGAGCAACGCTGCAGAACAAGAGCTGTGAAAACTTGAGCTACACTTTCATTCTAGGAATATTAAAAATCGCAAAATTTCAGAAAGGAATGACTGGAAAGTGGTAGGATGTCGAACCGCCTGTGATAGTGGGAAACTTCTATAACCAGAGAGGGAAGCACTTTCTAAGGGCGTTAGATGGTGGGAGCTGGGGATACTGCTTTGGAGAGCTGAAATCTTCGCAAGCGGACTTTTTTCCAAGGCTGTGGCTTTTCAAGTCTATGCATTAAACAGTATTCGGAAAACTAGGACATAGTGCTCTCAAAGACTTTGCTGCCACATTTTGCAAATTAGCAGAGATACAGCAAGGATAAGTAGGTAGAAGAATAGTTGAGGCCAAGAGTTATACAATTAAGACATAGTCTTAATAAGTAGACCCTTGAAAACAAAGAACTTTTAGAATGAATGATAATCATATAATACAAAGAATACACTATGTTCTTTCCTTGCAAGAACGTTTTTTTAAAAAAGAAAATTCAAAAAATTTTGAATCAAAGACAAAGAATTAGGGGAAAATATTACAACACTGAGGATAGAAAAAAAATAACTAACATATACTAAATGCCTGTCTTTGTGCTTTGTATGTGTTATTGTTTTAAGCTTCACTATGACCCTAATAAGGTAGTTAGGGCCGATCATATTTTTCAAATGAGAAAATAAGCTCAATATGAGCCAAGTAGTATACTAATAATTATGTGTTCATCATACTCTAATATATTTACATAGTAGAGATGATAAGAAATGACACACAAAATGTTAACTTTATTTTAAAATTTAATACAACAACTGGAAGTATATGTTTTCTAAGAAAATTTTTGGCATTTGACATTTAGTAGAGAAAATAATCTTTCCAAAGTTAACTATATGTCTTATTACCGAAAGAGAAAGCTTGACTCGTAGTGTTCTTGATTATTAGAACTGATGGTTTTAATTTGCATAAACAGGATATGTTTATTATCAGAAGTCACTAAAACCTATAAAGTCCCTGTAATTCCTTATGTTGATGCAGGTGGTACTGACGTCACTTTCTTTCCGTGGTTTCATAGCATGAATGTGTTGATGTGGACATGAAGATATGAGGTACCAACTCCGATCCTTTTGTAAATTAATTAGGCATTATTGCTTCTGATTTTGCCTCTTTGCCATTCTTTATTCTCCTCTCAGGAACTGCTCTTAGACCTATGGATAAATTTTTCATTGTTTCCCTGTATCTCTTTTTTATTATTGAATTTATTGGGGTGATATTAGTTAGTAGAACCATGCAGGTTTCTAGTGTACAACTCAATAACACATCACCTGTACACTGCATCATCGGCTCACTGCCCCAAGCAAAGTCTCCTTCTGTCTCCATTTTCCCTTCTTTGCCTACCTCACCCTGCTTTGCTTACCTCCCTGTTTTGCTTACCTCTACCTGCTTAGCCTACCTCCACCCAGTTTGCCTACCCCCACCTATTCCCACCTCCTTTTCCCTCCGGCTATGACTACACTGTTGTCTGTGTTCATATATATATGTTTTTGTTTAATGACTTCACTTTCTTTCATCCAGCCCATTATCCTCCCTCCCTTGAGAGCTGTCAGTCTCTTCCCTGAATCCATGCCTCTGTTTCTATTGTGTTCATCAGTTTGTTTTGTTCATTAGATTCCCCATATAAGTGAGATCATATGGCATTTGCCTTTCTTTGACTGCCCTATTTCACGTACTATAATAATATCCAGGTCCACCCATGTTGTTGTAAAAGGTACGAGTTCCATCTTTTTATGGCCAAGTAGTATTCCATTGTGTAAAGGTACCACTGCTTTTTTATCCACTCATTTACTGATGGACCCTTGGGCTGGTCCCAAATCTTACCACCATACTTTAATTTTTAGTTCTTTCAACCTTTATCCTGGATAATTTACATATCCTTTCAAATTGCTTTTCTATTACATGGAGTCCTTAGTAGCAATAACGCTTCTGTTATCGTGCCTACAGACTCGGTCTCAGATAGATTTTATTTTCTCTTGTGTGTTTTGTAAATTTTTTTAGCGAGTTTGTCTTTAGAGGTGCTTGTTTATTTTCCTGAGAGAATCCCATGGGAGTGTGTTGGGCCTTGCTCCACAGAACCAGGCACTTGAGATGAGGATTCAGTGGTAGTGCTTATTAAGGAAATGTTCCAGGAAGACTGGCAAAAGGGGTAGGGACAGAACAGAGAAGAGGAGAAATCCAAATGTGTGTGATTTCAGACAAAGCCCCACAAAAACATGATCTCGGGCTGATGCTGCAGGGGACTCTGGAGTTTAAAAGCTATGCCACAGAGTTGTAACTGAGGCTAAGGAGCTATGACAATTATGTGGGTAGGAGATGTGTTTTTGAGGGCATTTTTTTTTTAAAGAGGCCCAGTAGGTGCAGGATAGGAAAGCACAGCAAACAGGGCACCCCATTCCCCCCACCATGCTGCACCAAGAAAAGGTAAAAATAGATCCAGGGATCTGGGTGAGGCACAGACTCTGACATTATCCACTACAACCTCCGCAGGACAATTTTGTATTCACCTCTACCAGGCATTTAAGTGTGTAACTAGCTGAGGACCATTATTTATGTTTGCTTCTCAGTTTGGAGATTTTCTGATGCCATATGGGTTTCCATTTTGTAAAGTAGCAGGCCAAAGGAACTGATTTCTCATTTAAAAATTGCTTTTACCCAAAGTACAAGCCACAAGAAGCTTGTATGTTAGCTCCCTGGGTGGCTGAGACATTTTCTTTCTTTCTTTCTTTCTTTTTTTTTTTAGTTTATCTGTACATGATGGGAATAACTCCTCTATGAAAAGCCTTTAAGCAAGGTTTCAGTTCAAATCCCTAATCTGTTCTATGCAAGAATTAAAATCCCGATCTAGGCATTAGCTGATCAAATTATCTTCCATAGCCCATTCTACAGAGGCACACATTTGCACACAAGTCTGGTTAAAGGCTTTGAGCTGTGTCTGTGAAAGGGCTCTTCTTACTCCTGTTTTGGCTTTCTGCTTACATCATCCTTCAATTTTAGATCTTCTGTCACTTCTCCCTTTCAGGTGAGTTTTCTGTTGGAAGAACTTCAAATTTGAACTGAAAGTAAGATTCTTGCCCTTCCAGTCTCTGGACACCAGTAGTCTTTTAGTGAAAGCTAAATTGTCCCTTAAGATGAGTGATGGAGGAAAGTTGGAGGGAGGGTATAGAGAAAACTGTGACATCAAAGAGTTCCAGAAACTTAAGTGTGGAAAAGTTGATATCCTCAAGAGGGGTAAACAGGAAAGACTTGTCACTACTCTGACTAGAAGGCTAGATGAGCATGTTGGTTTTTCCTAAAGCCTACAAATGTATTTGATTCCTGTAGCATGAACAGAATTGATAGGAAATTCTCTCTTTTATACTCTTTTCTTAGAAAATAATGTGAGATTTCTGAGACAGCTGGAGAAACAACTGAAATGCAACCTACCTCAGTTTTTCTTCTCTCCTCCAAAACTGAAAAATCCCCATATGCCGAACGTATGACAGAAACTAAGACTGAAGTCTAGAATTCTGATTTTTTTTCTTTAGCACTTTCAGAAGAGTACTGACACAATACTGCCTCTCCTAACATGTCTTATAAGGTAACAGCCCAAATAAAGCCATAAAAGAAATATTTAAGCTTCCAGCAAAAAAGCTTTTAGCAAATGATTCAAATACAAACTGTAGGACTGATACTAAACCATTTAAGCTACAGTTCCAAAGTACCAGGCATTACTTTAACTTTCTCAAATGCAAGTATATGTACTGAAAACATAAGTTGATATTAATGTAACATATAGAAAAATCAAATAGAAAATTCAAGACTATTTATGAGGATGGTTATACACCGACTCTGCTCAGTTTGACCAACACACTTGTAACAATCATGGTCATGTGGGACACACTGTTCTGTCAGGAAGAGTTTGAGGACTTTTATAAAACTCTTTAGATAGAAAAAGGTACTGCTGACAATAGCTTTATTCACACTGTTGGTGTAGATGATAGTTGTATTCAGGTTCTTACAGAGATTATGCTATGAAAATTATCAACTACTCAGATTCTGATATTAGTTTTCCATTCCCCAGGAACTGAAGGAAGCTCTTAAAGAAATACAGCAAGTATCTCAGCCTGCATCCAAAGATCGAAGAATATCTGCAAAAGTCTGGAAGACTGGGAGTGGACAAAAAAGCAGGATCTGTTTTCCTACGAAGAAAGAATTTCTCCTAAGGTAGGAGGAAGTAGAAGTACAGAAGTTTGGTCAAGTCCAATATGTTATTGTTAGAAAGGAGTGTATTCGCATTTGTCACTTAGAATATCAGTCAACCTGGCTACCCTCAGCCTGAGAGTAAAAGACCTGCAATGAAAAATAAGCTAAGTCTTAAGAGACCCTGAGTCCTCCTGGAAGCACTAGCATTGTTGACACAAGAAGAGAATCTTATCAATGTTAACAACAGCTGCTTGGGTCGTAGGGGTAATGATAAAGTATTTGCTCCAGTGCCTTCTATTCTCTGGATATAAAACATCAGAACACCTGACTAAAGATGAGACTCTTCTGCCTTGGGCTACTTGGCATCATCAGTGGTCCTGCCTCTGGGCAGTGGTGCTGTCAGTGCGTAACAATGGCACCACTGCTAGTCTGAACTTAGGTGCTTTTAGATACATTTTCTCAGTGATCTGGATTGGGAGATAAGAAAAATGGTAGGTTGCTCCATGGTAGTCAACGGAATGCTATTGGAACTTGTGTGAGATACTGGATATTCTTAAATTTATTTGGGAAGATCTGGGGCTCATATTTGTTTTTCTTTTAATTTATAGAATGCTTCATGAATTGGTGTGTCATCCTTGCACAGGGACCATGCTTATCTTCTCTGTATTGTTCCAATTTTAGTATTTGCACTGCTGAAGCGAGTCCTATGGTTTATGTATTTTGAGGAGTAAGCCAATAACTTGTCCATTACAAACACATACTTCAAACAACAGAACAGATGATTGTATACATGGTCATAATCAGATGACGAATATGGAAATCAAGTAGGCTATGTAATTGGAAGCAGGATATAAGAAGCTGTATTCTCTCTGCCAAAACAAGACCAGGAGCAGATTGTGATACTGACCACAAACTGCTAATATCAAACATTAGAGTAAAGCTGAAGAGCACTAAAAGAATCATAGTGCCAAAATATAATGTAATAACATTCCTAATGGATTTAAAGTCCACATAAAACACAGATTTGCACTGTTAAATGTAATTGATCGAGACTCAGAAAAACAGTAGACTGAAACTACAAATATTATTGAGATGAATGTAAAAAGGCAGTACTGGAAGTAAAAAAAGGGAAGGAAAATTGAGATGGATGACAGGATAAACACTGAAAATTTTTAAAGACAGGTGAGAGGCAAAGGTAGAAGTTAGAATCCTGAACATAGTTTTTCAGTGACTATCACATAGAGATAAAGAGAGCTATTACAATAGGCAATGCAAGGAGATAGAAGAAAACAACAAAAAAGGAAAAACAAGAGCTCTCTACCAGGAGATTCAAGAAATAAAAAGGAAATTCAAACCTAAAGTAGGAATGCTGAACAACCAACAAGGAAGCACATTACCTAAATAGGAGAATATAAAGGGAAAGTGTAAATAGTATAATGAAAATCTATAGAAGAAACAAAAGACTGGCAGATAGCTTTGAAGAAGTTCCCTATGATGAAGAATGTGTAATTCTAGGAAGTGAAGTGAAAGCTTCTCTAAAAGTATTAGGAAAAAATAAATCACCAGGGGTAGATGGGATAGTAATAGAATCATTTCAAGCCACAAAGATTGAATCTGTCTAATTCTAACAAGAACATGTTTACAAACTTGGAAAACAAAACAATGATCTACACAGACTGGAAAAGTTCAATATACATCAAAATCTTCGAGAAAGACAATGCCGAAGAGTGCACACAGTATTTATAAGACTATTACTCTAATTTCCCATGCAATTAAGTGGTGCTCAAGGTGATGCAACAAAGGCTTCTATCTTATACAAAGCAAGGAATACTGGATGTTCAAGTTAGAGTCTGAGACGGAAGAGACATTCAAGATCTAATTGCAAACATCCATTGAATGCTGGAGAGCTCCAAAGAACTTCAGAAGTCAGTCTATGTTTTGTAGACCACAGTAAAAGCTTTGTGTTGATTATGAAGAGCTATGGGTTTCTCTGAAAGACATGGGCATGCCTCAGCACATGATCATCCTGATGTGTAACCTTTACTGTGGACAGGAAGCCACTGTTAGGGCAGAATATAGAGACACAGAATGGTTTCCCTCTAGGCAGAGGTGTTAGACAAACATGTCTTTTATCTCCCTATTTATCTATATGCAAAACATATCATTCAAAAACTGAGCTAGACTCAGAGGAAGGAGGAGTGAAAATTGGTGGAAGAAATTAAGATAACTTAAGATATGCAGATGACACTATCTTACTGGCAGAAAGTAGCAATAATTCAAAATGACTTCTGATGAAAGTGAAAGAAGAAAGTGCCATAGCAGGACTGCATTTAAACATCAAGAATATAAAAATCATGACTACAGAAGAAACACACAGCTTCAACATAGACAATGAAGACATTAAATTATTTAAAAAATTTTTGCTTAGTCATCAATTCAAATGGAGACGGCAGCCAAGAAATCAAAAGAAGGTTGAGACCTAGAAGGCTGCAGAGGAAGACTTAGGAAAGATCAAGAGCAAAGGTCTATCATTAGAAACCAAGGGTAAGCTTATGCACACCCTCTTATTCCCAGTTACAGTGTATGATGTAAAAGTTGGACAGAGAAGAAGGTTGATAGAAAAAAATTAATTTATTTGAAATATGTTGTTAGAGGAGAGCTGTATGAGTACTTTGAACCTCCATAAAGGTGAACAAGTGGGTCTTAGAGCAAATTAAGACTGAAACATTGCTGGACGCAGAAATGACAAAACTGAAGTTGTCCTATTTTGGGTACATCCTGAGATGAAAGTCAGGGTTCGTTGGAAAAAACTATAATGCTGGGAAAAATAGAAGGGAGCACGAAAAGAGAGAGGCCAACTGTGAACTAGATTGACTTCATAAAATACGTCATAAACATGCATCTACAGGAGCTGAGCAGGGCTGTTGAGGACAGGACATTGCAGACATCACTTATTTGTAAGGTCACCAGGAGTCACAGCCAACTCGACAGCATATAACACACTACAGTAGTATACAGATAGCTTTTTTTCTTTTAATGGTTATTTTTGTAATCTTGTTTTTAAGTCCAAACTACTGTGACTCAGGAAATGTAGGTGACACATTTACAGTCAGAAGAATTATCTTTGTTCAGCATTATTTTCCCAAGCCGTCCAAACTCTGTTGGCTCTTGTGTTTGTGAATGGTAGACACTGAAGTATGTTGCTCAAATTTCCCTTCACAGGGGTCTGCTGCCCTACCTGGAAGAGTTCAGGAGCTAACAAGTGGCCCCTTTAGGATCTGCCTCAGCTTTGGAACAAAGGTCAAGCTCTCAGCTTGCACTGCTTCCCCCACCCCAGCCAATAACTGAGCAAAGTGGTGCTACAGGTGGTACAGAGCTTACCTTTGAATAATCTTTGCTCTGGAGATCCTCACCGAGTTGGCAGAGTTTTTGTTGGATCTCTATCATGGTATGACAGTACCACCTTCCCAATTCTACTTCTACTTGCCTTTGAAAGCATATTTACCAATAAATTCTAACTTCATCTCAGAAACTGCTTTCTAGAGAGCTTAACAGGAAGAATATCCGACACTGTCGCATGCCATACAGTTTTGTTATGAAACTCTGTGCAATACAATATCTGTCTGCCCCAGGACCTTTATTCTTAATTATTTTTTATCAGGCAGTTAAGCTGGTACTGTTAAAACAAGGAGACCTGGTAGGGATTCAGACTTATTTTGGGTTTGAATCTCAACTCTGCCTTATATTTAACAATATGAATTTGATCAAGTTAGTTTATATCATCCTCTATTTTGTCATCCTCCCAGTCTAGGCCTGAACTAGAAATAGATCTCCAATTGAGTGGAAACATGGATGCATGAAATTGCTGTGCAAAACAATTAAACATCCCCTTACCAGTGTCAAAGAGAGAGAGAGATCTCATTTCATGCTCACTGTGGACTACATGGATTTAGTTATATTTACTCTTTTCATTTTCCTGTATAAGAAGCATTTACCACTGAAATTGTGTAAAATGTGTTTTTCTTCTTCTTCTTCTTCTTCCTATATAACTGAAATTACCTTCACTGTAAAATTTGCTTGCACATATTTTCCTTTTTCCTCTTGGAATTACTATTTTTAATCATATCTCATCTTCTGCCTCTGTTGGAATAAATCCTTTCTTAAAGTTTTATATATCTTCCTATCCTTTAACTAAGTTTTATCATTGTTATTGTTTTTGCTTTCCAATGAGGAGCAGTATTAGCTCTTGATCCTTATAATTAATAGGTCAGTTTTCAGATGTAAGTTATCTCCATTGTGTTATTTATTGTATTTCAAAAGAGAGGTTTTATTTCATTTAACTTCCTCTTTGTCTGTTAAAATAACTACTTGAAATATTTTCCCTGGTGTTTTTCCATAGAAACAAAAAAAAAAATTGGGACAGAGACAGAAAAAAAGGAATATTATGGAAAATGTTTCAAGTGAAGTTAGTTTTTTTTAAATTATTTTTATTTGCCTTGCCAAGTTTAAACCCATGAAGCCATAACTAGATACTAAATACAGAAAGGCCCCAAACAAATTGAACCTGTTATATTTTACATATAAAATATTACATTTTGAGAAAATCTTTCCAATGTAATAAGTATTTATAATAAATAAACACCAAATAACCCACTAATACCTTACGATTTTATGGTTTGACAGGGGTTTTCACTTTATCTTATTTTAACCTTGTGTAAAAATACCCAGAAAGGGAAATTATTCCTTTATGCTCTTCAGACTCTCCTTTGTATGAATTAAGGAGACTGAAAAAATATGTAATAGAGGGTTAAAGTGAAAGTGTTGCTTGAGCCATAAGATAACAGAGCCCAGAGGGTCTAGACGCACACCTTCTGGGGAGGTGAGAGACTTGAGAGCAACCACAAAACACAGCTGAATAAGCACAACTATAATGGAAATAAGAAATAAGCTTTTGAAGTCTCCGACAAAATATCTAGACTTATCTTAGTTAACATACTTTAAAAAATTAGCAAAATGTACAACAGAAAAATCATAATGCTGTAAGTTATATTGATAGTAATTTGCATAATATGAAAAATAAAGGTATTTCTACCACATAAATCAGTCCTCCTATTTCTTAGTGATGTATTGAAAAATAATTCAATGCAAGAAAGTTAGATGAGTATAAAAGATCTCCATATAAGCTTATATGTTTTTTAAAAAGAGGAAACAGCATAAGTTTTCACCTGCTGACTGGTTTTCCTGTTGATATTAGAATAAAATTAAAGATCTTTATTGTGCCTCCTAAGGCCTTGCCTACTCTGCTTCATCATACCTCACTCACTTACCCTTTGCATTTACTGTACTTTAGCCAGTAGCCTTCTATTGGTGCCTCAAAAACATGTATCCCTTTCTACTGCAGGGCCTTTGTGCATGTTCTCTCAACTTAGAACACAATGATCCTCCCTAACCTCTTTTACCTGGCTTACTCCTTATCCTCCCAGATGCAGCTTAACTATCATTTCCACAGGAAAACTTCTGATAGATCTGGTATGGTAGACCTACTTTCCCCTTGTAGTAATTATCATAAATTTATTTTTAAAAAGTGTTTCTTGTTATTTATTTAATAGTTTTCTTTCTTGCTAGCTTTAAAGTTCTAGAAAGACAGAAGGTATGTCTGCATTGTTCAATGCTATTTTCTCCTGCTACATGTGAGACACTTAGTA